TTTTTTTTTTTTTTTTTTTTTTTTTTTTTTTTTGGTGTTGCACAGATTAGTTTCTTTAGAAATTTACAAAAAGACATTAACAGACATAGACTCATAAAATACATTTTTGTTCACATAATAAATTGAATTCATTGTTTTTTTGACACTATTGATGAGTTAAAAAAAAAAAAGAAGAAATTATAGAAGTTGATTTTTGCTATATCAATCCTTCGAAGTACTGAGGTTCAGAATTTATGCATCGTATTAACCACTGACATTGATCTGTGGCACAGTTCGTTGCAAAAAAAAACAATGATTTGATTATTGAACTTAAGTATCAGAAAAAAATGCGACTTGGATGTTTTGATGTTTCTTTTTGGAACTATTTTGCATTGGAAAGATTACCGTAAATTTGGGGATGATTAATTTAGATGAGAAAATAAATTTGTAAAATTCTGAGCACAGATATATACTTTTTTGTTATTTGATTAGGGGTACATATAGAAAGTTTTCAGGATATATCTTTTATTTTGTAAAAAATATGCACTCATATACAGTATGTATTATTATTTCAACCATTCATAAACTAAAGCTCTTTTTTTTTTTGCTTTGATCGTTGAACATTTCTGTAGTTTTTACAAACTGTTATTTCTGGTGAACAATAAGTAGAACTCTATTGCAATAGTCAAAAAAGGAGCAGATAAAAGCATCAACTAACATTGAAAGATAACTGTTGTACTTGTGAAACAGAACGCTATATACTGTATAAATTTTTATTCCAATTTTTTTATCAGTCGCTGAGCTTTCAGTGTTTATTTGACAGTCATTAATATATATCAGCAGAAATACCAAAAAAAAAAAGAGAACAATGATTTAAAACGTCTGATCTAAGAAAAAAAAAAACCTGCGAATACTATAGGCAGAATGATACAACAACAACAAAACAACACCTTTAAAAATTGTTAAAGCTCTGTTTTGTTAAATTATGACCATCAATTTTAGAGATTTTAATATTAAGGTACAGAAAAATTCAAAAAAAAAAAAAAGGCAGATTTAAAGTATTTCTAAT